CAAATATCGAAATCTTTTGAAATTTGAAACAAACCCCTTTTGTATTGATGATAAGCAAGGGTTTCTTAATCCACACACAAAGTTTAAGGCTGGGTTTATTTTTGAACCAGTATCGAGTGGTCGGAAATTACAGAGACGGACTCTTAAAGTTGTAAAGCGGCTACCAGAATTCGCACAATTTCGAGGTTTGCAAGAACTTTCCAACGCCATTTTTCTGTAAATGACATTATAATGGGCTATCGTCTGCGTGAGCCTCGAAAGCAAACTTGTATCGATTCCTTTTTTACATTACTGTGAGAGACGTATACATTTTCTAATGAACTTTTATGCACAAAGAAATTTTCATTTTATGCTAATTATTTGCTAGATATATTTTACTGTTTTGATACTCAAATTACAAACCTAATTACGCACCTTTGCCTCCCGCTGTTTTTTTCTACATACCCCTTTTAAGCGGACACCCCTTTTAAGCGGACACTTAGGCGAGGTCCCGAAGGTGTCCGCTTAATAGGGGTTCGACTGTAGCTGTGTAATATGCGTATTTGTATAGCCGTAGACTCGGGTTCAAGTCCGTTTCTCAAGGGGTTGAAAATAGCGATGCACGCGAGCGGTCAAAAAAGGTGCGAAAATATGAGAGAAAAGTAAGTAGGGAGAGACGGACTTGGATACCCTGCAAGCTCTGCCCTGCAAGCGCGCGGATTTTTCCTACGGAGGCGTGGCTTGCGAATTGAGAACAACAACAAATTTTCGCGCCAATTTTTGCAAGTAACATTCGAAATGCTGCAAATGTCCCAAGTCTGTTTCTCCCTACTTTTCTCCTGAGATGGACTTCAACCAAGTCTAGTATAGTCCCAGCTAGTTAACGCTCCGTAGAGCGTCTTGTTATATATTTTTCGGGGAAAATATCTATGAAATCTATGTCGTTTGACTGTTTATATTGGGTCAAAATAGTGAGTTTATAGATTGTTTTTGGGGAATATTACCTTGGTTCGGGGTTCTATCGTATAATATTGTATACGATTGAAGGTACGAGTCATTGACCGCCTTCTGTTATCCTTTAGGGTAACGAAAATGCGCCAAACGACCCGATCCATACGGCGGGCGATGGTGAAGCCGTTTCTCGTCTAGACATTGAGAAACTTGTGGCTGAGACAGTGGCGAAAACATTGCCACTTGCCTTATCAAGTGTCCTAGCTGCAGGGGGCTTAAAATCATCGGGTGTAATAACACCTACACAAAGTATAGAACCTGCAGCCACTGACCAGGTTCAAACACAGCCTGGCCCATCCCGAGGGGATCGCTTTTACACCACTGAATCAAAGGTTGAACTCCCTGATGATTTGAGAGAACTAACCACTCAAGCCTTTTCAAAATCCCTACAGAAGGATCGAAACATGGCAAGGTCTCCTTGAGAACTATCCGCCCCCAGAAGGCACTGAATCAATATTACATGCCCCCACAATGGAGGCAGGTATGAAAGAAGAGATACGCAAGATGCATGGGTATCTTAAAACCAAGGATGTGTTTGCATTTGATGATGCCTATTAACTATTATTATTATGCCTTGGCTGAAAAGCAGGGGGCATTCTTGCTTACCGCACGACCAATCATAGCAGCACTTACTGTACTGGATCACCCCAGTGAAGAGGAAGAGGGTCCAGATCCTGATCTAGTTAAGGGTATTCTTGAAGATGCCCTAGTCCTTCTAGGCAATGCTAATGTTCGTCTAAATACATGGCGACAGCGTCGATTTTCTGAGTACCTAACTGAGGTTGGCAAGCGTACCCTTAAGGAAGAGATTCCATCTGATCAACACCTCTTCCCAGATCGGTTTCATGACCGTATCAAAGATGAGCATAATTATACAGCCACCAATAAAAATTTGATCAGCAAACCGCATGACAAAGACCTGTCTTCGCCAAGATTCATTCCTTCTCGGCAGCCCTTTAATTTCGTGGTCGCTCAGGAGCCACTAGCCGGGGTAATGGCAGTCGAAAACGAAGGTGGAACTATACCCCCCGAGATAACAATCCGGGAACCTCATAAAGATTCCAATCCAGAACTGGGTCAGCAGCAGGCAAAAGCTGACTATCCGTTTCCACGATTAACAAACATACGATTGCACACATTCCCAACTGCAGGCCGCCTAATTCATTGTTTAGAAAATTGGAAGATAATCTCTCAGGATCCTTAGATCCTACAAACGGTACAGGGTTACAAAATACCTCTGATCGGTTCTCCACACCAATGGAGATTGAGAGAGACCAATCCTCCATTACGACAGCAGTACCTCATGGACAATGCAGTTCAGGAGTTGCTCAACAAAGCAGCAATCAAGCTGGTCCAACCAGTTCCGGATCAGTTTGTGTCAACTTTATTTCTAGTGGAGAAAGAGAACAATTCTGGCCAGTATCGTCCCGTCATAAACCTTCGTGCCCCGAACCAATTTGTGGAACCCCAGCCATTTAAAATGAGAGTCTCCAAGTTGTGAAAGCCCTGGTCCAACCAGGGGACTACCTTATGAAAACGGACCTGAAAGATGCATATTATACTGTCCCCATCCATCAGGACTGAACAATACCTTAATATTTGCTATTATTACCAGTGCAAGATCCTGGTTTGGACTTGTGAATCAAGTCGCTTGGGCCCATGCTATCAGCCCCATTATGCAACCCTTCCGTGAGCTTATTAAACCTAATCAAAAGTTCTACTGGGACGATACCTTAGATACTCTGTTCGAGTCATCCAAGTCCGTCCTCATCGACCTTGTGAAAGACGGGGTGCAATCGTACGACATCTCCAGAACCACCTGTATCCAACCCGATTGGAGTAAAGATGGGGTCGGTTACCTCCTGCTACAAAAGCATTGTCAGTGTGCTATTGTGTCTCCTTTTTGTTGCGAAAATGGTTGGAAACTTATCCACGCAGGATCTCGTTTCACAAATCCAGCGGAAAGCAACTATGCAGCAACAGAGGGTGAGGCATTGGCAGTGGCCTGGTCCCTTGAACACTCCAGACTATTCACTCTGGGGTGCCCTAACCTTGTAGTGGCAACTGACCACAAGCCGCTACTAGGGATCCTCAACGACCGCGCCCTGGATCGGATCTGCAACCCGCGAGTACAACGCCTTAAGGGGAAGACACTTCATGGCGGTTTTCTATCATTCATTGTCCGGGCAAGTGGACCAAGGGTCCCGACGCACTATCGAGGTATCCCACAACAATTGCCGCTGCTCTCCGAGACATCCGGGAACAAGCCTCAGATTATGATGTGATGCAATGCAGCGACGTTGAAGATGCTCCTTACATTGCCAGTACTTGTGCCCTTCAGCAGATTGGTAGTGTTACGTTTGATCATATCGTTTCTGCTGCTCGATCAGATGATGAATATCAGACGTTACTAAAGTTAATTTCTTGCAGCTTTCCTGGGAAGCGCAACTTGGTGGAACCAACATGTATGCATAAGTACTGGGAAGTCCGCCATCGCCTCTCAACCTTCCAGGGTGTCGCCTTGTTAGATCAACGCCTGATCATTCCTGCGAAACTTAGAAACGTTGTCCTGAGCACTTTACACTCAGCAAACCAAGGCACGACAGGCATGAAATTCCGTGCATACCAGTGTGTGTATTGGCCAGGCATGGACAGAAGTATACAAATCCACCGTGAAACCTGTCAAGATTGTATTCGACATGCGCCCTCCCATCACGCGGAACCTTTAGTGCTAACTCCAAGTCCATCCTATCCATTTCAACAAGTGTGCGCCGATTATTTTCAAATCGAGGGCCACTCATATCTCGCGGTTGTCGATCGATTCAGCGGCTGGCTTTGCAACTATGCATTCAAAGCACACGAAGTCAATCATTGGACTCTCCAGCACATATTCCGCAACCTTTTTATCGCTTATGGCGTCTCTGAAGAACTGAGCACCGACGGTGGCCCACAGTTCACTGCTGAAGCTTTTCAGCAATTCCTGAAGTTATGGGGCGTCAATCACCGGCTCTCATCAGCATCCTACCCACAAAGCAATGGAAGAGCAGAAGTGGCTGTTAAGGCTGCTAAACGCATTATTCACAACAACCGCTCGTCAGATGGTGGGCTTAACACTGATACGGCTGCTCGCGCCATACTCCAGTATCGTAACACTCCATTACCAGATATCGAGCTGAGCCCTGCCCAAATTTTGCTTCACCGTCAACTACGTGACAGTATTCCAGCCCATCCTGATCACTATCAGCCCCATAAGGAGTGGGTCCTTACAGCCGAGGAGCGTGAAAAAGCACTCAGCAAGCGAAATCACATCCTGGTCAAGAACCATGATGCTACAGCACGCAAGCTTCGGCCCCTTGTTCTTGGCACCAATGTGGTCGCGCAAGGGGAAAACCAAGAGACATGAGCATTCTGGCAGAATCATAGAAGTGTTACCCTATCGACAGTATAGAATTAGAATGTTTCATTCTGGAAGAGTGATCCTCAGAAATAGGCGATTCCTTCGCGAATACAAACAATCCACCCAGAAGATATTCACCCCTTGTCCATAGAACCACAAGCGTCAGCTCCTGCACCATCTACTCCTGCTCTTGAGTCTGCACCTTCTACTCCTGCACCACCTACTCCTGCACCACCTACTCTCGCACCCTCTACTCCAGCATCACCTATTCTCATTCCCGAGTCAGAATGTTCCGTCCCCAGTAGTTCTAACCTACCAACACAGTCTCAGGGAATTGCACCAGGTGACAGTCAGCAAACAGCTGTCACGCAAAAACTCCCAAGAGCTTTAAAGATCTTACAAAGCTTCTTTGTAAGATCTTACATCACCTCCCTTCTAGGATGAAGGAGATGAACAATACCTTAATATTTGCTATTATGTTTATAGTTTGTTGTTGATTCACTTATAACATTATTACATGAAGTATAGGACATTCAGACGCGTAATGGCAGACACCACATGCTTTAGTTTTTAGCTGTTAGTTTGTTTATCAAATAAAGCTTTGTTTGAATGAATCTTGTCGATTGTTGATCTTAAATATGGATCACTGTCGTTATCTTCGATTCTCTTACCACGGGAATCTGTACGAGTTTCGTTGCCTACCCTTCGGACTCTCGTCTGCCCCTCGGGCATTTACAAAGATCTTGAAACCAGTAGTTGTCTTGATTTGTTCCCTGGGAATTCGCATTGTCATTTATCTGGACGATATCTTGCTTCTACATCAGAAGAAGAACGACTTAGTACAGATCTTTTACCAAGTCGACAACCTACTTCAGAACCTAGGATTTACCATCAAGCCCGACACAGCAACTGGTATTCCTGGGGGGTCTGCTGGACACAATGAAGATGACAATCTCACTTCCACCAGAGAAGTTGGAGTCAATCATCCAAGAAGCCCACCAAATCCAACAGACCAGTCCAATATCTTTAGAGAAGCTATCATCACTTATTGGCAGAATGAGTCATGCTGCTCAGACTGGGGTTTGGAGAGCACCCTTATATTATCGCAGCCTACAGCGCGACCAGGCAATATCTACTCACCAATATGGCAAGCATCGAAACGTTTTCAGGTGACGTTATCCCAAGCAAGTATGACAGAACTGATATGGTGGTCATCCCCCCATCTTCACACATTCAATGGCCAACCCCTGCGCCCAGTGCCCTTCGACTTGACTATTTCAACCGATGCCTCCCTGTTGGGGTGGGGGGCAACATGGAATGGGGTGACAACAGGTGGTCGTTGGCTTCCACAGGAGGGGAAATCGCACATCAATTGGTTGGAACTCAAAGCAGCTTACCCGGGATTACAAGCCCTTTTCAACTCCCAGACGTCCATCCCCAATCATATTCTTTAGCAGATGGACAATTCCAGTGCCGTTGCATACGTGAACAAGAGAGGGGGGACCAGATCCCAGGCGCTTTCAGTTCAAACACTGGTTGTTTGGGCATTAGTCCTGGGGAAAGGCTCTTGGATTACGGCACAACACATTCCAGGGTCGTCGAACGAGGTGGCGGATGCAGCATCAAGATGCTTCAACAACAACTTGGAATGGACGTTACACCCAGATATCAGATATCTTCAAGCAAGTGATCAAACGGTTTTACCGACCATCAGTGGACCTATTTGCCTCACGAACCAGCCATCTTTTGCCACAATATGTCTCTCGCCATCCAGATCCAGCAGAAATAGCGACGGATGCCTTTCTCAGCGATTGGAGCAAGTCAGCCTCCGCACCTGATATCCTTGCCCTTCGAGCCCGAGAAGGAACATCCGCTTCAGCACAAGCTACACCTAACCGTCTGGCCAGTATCCGCGCTATCGCTCAGAGGGACTTTCAACAGCGGCTACAGGAATTCTCCTGTCCTCATGAAGTGAGACTACCCAGAAACGATATTCTGGACCGTGGAACACTTGGGCAAGCTGGTGTAGTGAACGGTCGTTGTGTCCCTTTACTGCCCCTGTAAACTTTGTTCTGTCATTTCTGGCTGAATTGTCGGAAAAAGAGAAATTATCTTACAGGACTATCGGTGTGTACAGGTCAGCAATATCTCAGACCCACGACCCAATCGGTGCCCTTCCCTTAGGGGAACTACCAATAGTAACACGGTTTATGAAAGGGGTCTTCAGGTTAAATCCACCTAAACCCAAACTTTGTTCTACATGGAGAGTTAAAGATGTGTTGGCGCATATGCAGGCACAAGCGTCAGTTAAGGACCTTGGTCTCAAAGATCTTTCGTTAAAACTCGTTCTATTGTTGGCATTGACGTCTGCAGCACGTGCTCATGAAATAGCGGCGTTGGACATGCAATTCCTTACTGAGAAGGAAGATTCGTGGGAATTTTCCTTGGCTATTCATGTAAAGCAGTCCAGACCTAACCATCCAAGCAGACGAATTTACCTTCTGGCATACCCAGTGAATGAAAAGCTCTGTGTGGTTACGACCCTGAAGGAATATCGCGCCCGGACGGTCCGCGTTCGTAAGTCATCAAAACTGTTACTTACATTGGTGGCTCCTCATGCACCCATATCCAGCCAGACTGTGTCCAGGTGGCTAAAAAGTGCACTGAGACTTGCTGGTTTTACACCTGAGTATTAAAGTTCTATTAAATGTTCAGTTAATGCTCATGTCAGCATACTTTGAAGTCTGCAACAGTATTGTGAGTATCAGTCGGAGAAGAAGTGAAGGAGAAATGGAGTTTCCCCGGAGGGTAACTTACCTGAAGGGGGAGACGTAGTTCTGCGAACTTCTTCGTAGACTGATATGAGCAATACTGTTCCCCATTCATAAGGAGAAAGAAACATTGATTAGTAGATCAGTGGAATATAGTGCATCTTTTCCTTCCCTTCCCTGTGCTTCCATTCGCATTCAATTGTTTAGGTTGATAAACGCCACGCGATCAAAGAGGACATTCGGGACATGCGCAGTTCATTTTATTATTTGTGGTATCCAGACCTCTCGCCGCTCGAGATCTGCAACAGTATTGCTCATATCAGTCTACGAAGAAGTTCGGAGAACTACGTCTCCCCTTCAGGTAAGTTACCCTCCGGGGAAACTCCATTTCCAGGCGACAACTGCCTGGTTGCAGAGACATGTGGTCAATTGACATGTGGTCAATTTTAATTTCGTTCCAGTGACATATCATTTGACACGATGGAATAAGTCGCAGGGGCGCAATTTTGTCCCGCGTAAAATTGCATGAAATCAAATGAATTGATATTACGCAACCTGTCGCGGAGACTAAAATCTGTACCTGGGACAAGAAGTTCACGTTGTCACACGATTTTACACATATGTTTATTCTATGAAATGTTTAGTATTGAGCTAGAGAACGTCTTATTAATGAGTATACAAACAAATGTGGTTGTATCCTGGTGTCTCGCGCGCATTTTATAGGGTTGGGGTCAACATCGAAGAATTCGTGCGCGAGCAGGGCCGCCGAAAGGGAGGGGGGCATTTTGCCCGTGCCCCTAGCTCAAAAGGGGGCCCCAAAGCGACGGAGTCCCTTATAGAGTTCTTTGATAAAAGATTACTTTTAAGTAAAGATTACTTTTAAGATTACTTTATATTTTTTTGGTTAAAACCAAGAATATAAATTCTCATTGCCGGACAATATCAATAAAGCGTAATATATCGTGAAACTCCGCTTCTCCTGTTTACAATTATGACGTCATAGGGGCCCTTGGAAAATTTTATGACTGCAGAGGCCCCCTGGATAGGTTTCGCCCCGGGCCCCCCACAACCTCTCGGCGGATCAACCTGTGCGCGAACAATGAGAATCTTGGACGAATAGATTTTCAAATAATAAACTAGAGGATAACAAAAAGGTTTTTGAAGTACGTCTACCTTTCGGCGCAAAACAACGTAAACCATTAGCGCCATCAATCACGTCTAGAGTTTTCTTGCCATATTTGTTAACACACCAACATGTGTCATGCTCTAATGAACATTGTACTTCGTGATAAGATCCATCTTCATCACATACTGGACGAACTGAATGTTTCTTTCGTGGATCTGCAGATAACACTCTTTCTTTTTCACATTTTGTCTTGCGAACGTCTGAAATGAGTGAATTTATTTATGACATCTACTATGATCTAGTCATTAATTATCTACTTTTCTTACCAGTCATTTTCAAAGATACTTTCATTTTAGATGAACCATATTTGGTACGAACACGGCATTCGTAATCCCCAAAATCGTCATTTACATACGGCGTGATTTCTAAGAAACTTGTTTGTGTTTCTGTTTGTGTTTCCACTGTTGAAATACATGTATCACAATTTTGGCGAATCTGCACGCCATCCTTCATCCAGTTAACCTTGGGCTCTGGTTCAGCGTGATAGATACACTTGAGACGAGTCGACTTGCCACGCTCTGTGTAGACAACAGGTGGGGAACTGGTACCAAGTATAGTGGGACTGGAACCATGTTGCTCAGCTTGAAAACCTAGATATAGAAGCTTTCATTTTGAAATGTGGGGTTGGTACCATTTGTATTTACTCAAAAAGGCTGCTGTAACTACTATGATTTAGCATTTATTAAAAAGCGTGAACCCAAAACAAAGCGTTTATCTTCCTCTGTTATAGTGGATGGCTGATTGGCAAAATTGTAACTCAATGATGCCACTAAAAGTAGTCAAGATTATTTTACCCAATCTTTGATGTGCCCAATGTGCCCTTTGGTATCAACGCCATACATAATTATAGCTCTTTTCAGTGAAGCATGGAACGCCAATAGTGTCATTTCTCGAAATGGTGAAGACCATTTGTGAATATTGAGGTTGGAATGGCATTTTTGATTAATAACTCACTAGTGTTGTATTTATGTCAAACAATAATTACAATGTACCACAACGGTCTGACTAGGCTTGCTGCATTCAGGGGCGTAGCTAGAGGAGGGGGTGGGGTTAATTAAGGGGTGTAACACAGCACCCCCCC